CACAGAGTGGGTGGGGAGGGGAGCGTGTTTCATCCTTCAGCCCATTTCAAATTTCCGGCGATTTTGATGATGAAAGTTCGCTGTCTCCGCCATCTCGCTGAGTTTCTCTTTTAATACCTTTGTAACAAGCATAATACTGCACTTTTCTTTCGTAAAGAAACGTTCAAAAAATGTCGAAAAACTCAGCTACGTGAAAGAGTTAGGTTAAGTGGTGATTTTTAATTGATTAATTTCGAAGGAAGGTTTCAGCGAAAAAGTTAGGGTAGGTTAATTTTTGAAAAGTTCATGGATGTAATTTCTTTGCAAAGTTAGGTTGGATCGAGGATTTTAAATTTTGTCAATATTGAAACATTTTTTAGCATAGATTACGTCAGGAAGCATCGAAACTTTTTAGTCTCTGTATGATCATATTTTAGTTTGTAAAACTTGAAAGTTGATAGCACACTCTAGCTGTACTCTTTTGTAAATTATGGTTTATATTTTTTAATATAGTATTACACTTTATAGAGACGTAAAATAAACTGAAAAATAAAAGCTCCCAACGTGGTAACTTATCCTTTACATACATTACCTGGAAAGGCAAGGTTCAAATATTGAGTTTTTAGCTGCAGGGCATATCAGTTAAGTGTCAATTTAAGTTGCTATTTTCAATTAAGATTCAGAGATTGAAAATTCATAAATCTAAGAAAATAAATCTTTAGAAATTAACTCGATCGAAATAACACTCTTATAATTTTCTCCCTAGTGATGTCACAAGTTTCAACTTGTGATCATTACATACCTACAGGGAAGTCCCTAACTGGTCTTCGAAGTCCAAATGCTTATTTCAAACCGTGAAATAAAACACGTTAAAAGTCCCTTCAAATACGAATTTGAAATTCGAGTGGGAAGACTGCTACTTCTCTTGATCATCATGCGCGCGCATACAGACGCTAGGGATGTACGTAGCGCGACACACGTTGCAAGGAATACTAGCGATTAGCGATCAACGTAAAACGAGAACGAAAACGATGCTATGGGGTTGCTCCTAATGCTCGCGAAATAAGGTCGTTTACAGTTCACTGCAACTCAATTTTCAGCGATATTTACATAACGGGTAGCGTCGATCCCATAAGGATATTTCTTCTTTTCCACTTATGTATTTCGCAGCGCGGTATCTGTGAACCGTCACTGGACTCGCGTTCGCGCATGCGCTAGTTACTGAGCGATATACGCGTGGTTGCTAATTTGTCTGGCATGTCTGATACGCGGTATCAAAGGGGCGCTAGCAATAATTGGAGTTGTACGCTCGATTCTTCGTGTTCGTTGCTTCTTTTTTCGTATACGTGTGACGTGCTTGATGGAAAATTGTTTTGTACTTGTTCTTTGCCTGTCAAACTATATTTAAAATAAAATAGTTCGTTACTTCAATAATCCAATTTTGTATATACCTATATTACCAAAAATATGATTAAAATAATTGAAGCATAACATACGAAAAAATGGAGAATCTGTGTCTTTAATAACTTAACCTCTATGCAGTCTGACGGTAAACAAGAAAATAATCACCAAACTCATAGAGAACCGTCTATTTTTGCTCGATACAGACAGATCCCTCAACAGATTGCAATCAAACACAACGAGAATACATATCAGTCGCGTCGCGGCGCTCATGGAACATGCCTATGCTCGACGGAATTTTATTGGCTGGTCCATGAATCCGGTCGTCTGATGCAAAAAAAATATTACCGAACGCACAAATAACCGTGTCCGCCGACGGTGACGTCACTTCACGCGCCTGATTGGATGGTTCTCATCTAGATGGGGCTACGTTAGCTGTGACCCTCCGTGTACGAATATTATTGCGCTCGTGCAATAAGAAGCGCGTGATAAATCACAAAAGAGTACATCGAATAAAAGGAGGCGAAGGAAAAGTAAGAAAGACGAGTGAACGTTGAATTATTGATGACAACCGCGTGATCCTCTATTTGTCAGCTCGTTTGAGCGGCGGTAATGCGCGAATTCAATTAGCTGTAAGTGAGAGAGAGAGAAAGTACGAAAAGCAACGAGTCCCGCGTTGATAAGCCAAGAGGTCGTTAGACACGTTGTATTGCGAGATGGGAAAAGGGGAAAAGCCGTTCGCTTTTAAAAAGTCTCGTTAACCCGCGTAATTAATTCGCCACTGGTGGACGCGGCCACCGGGACAGATAATTAATTCAGCCGCGATAATTCCCGACCGTGGATAAGAATTTTATTGTGGGATTCATCGCACCGTTTTAAATTCGACCGAGCCCCGCTCTTATTGTCTGGAAGACATTAATATAAATGAGGAGTGGGGAGGTAACAGGAACGAGGGTGGCGCCATCTGTGTTTGACACGAAGACGTTCGAACCTGGGTCCGTTTGGCAAAATCTCCTGTAATTGTGTTAGACGATTGTCTCTTATGGGGTGATTTTAAGTAAATACTGATAGTGTATGATTAATTTTCGGTAGATTGGGAACAGACAGTGTGATAATTAAACGAGCAGGTATCGTTCCATGAATTTTGTTCGCAGAGAAAAACGAAAAGTGAATAATTCATGGGAAATGGATTGAGGTAGATTGAAAAGTTAGGTTAGGTTGATTCATCAGTTCGGTATTTTACAATATTAATTTGATCTTTAGAATAATAAATTATATTTTAAATAATCGGTAGATTTACGTGAAGAAATAGTAAGAAGTAGTATGGCTATACCATATGGCAGACAGTAAGTAGTATTACTCCATTATTTGTCAGAGGTTTTAAAATGTATAGGTACTTGCTACTATGTAGTATACAAATTTTTGTAATCTTAACCACTTTCACAAATACGTGTTTAAATTCATGTTCTGAAAGACCTTCTCTAATGCTTTTAATCTCTTTTGCTGAAATTTACGTTTCCTATCCAGTTTCAAGCTAGTAGTGTCCCGTTCATAAATAAATCGAGCACGTGCATGTATGTACGTAGACCTCCCTGAAAGAGTATCGAGTGGCCCACTTCTTTTACAACCCTATTAATGTCACGTTGCACGATAAACAATATCGGTCTCTGAAACTGTATTTGTAGGATGTTGCCACAAACATGGCGGCGCTGTAGAGCGCCGTTGGTGGCGGTGTAATGAAGTTCGCGCGTGTTCCAAACGGTTTGGACAGCCGTTTACAATAAGAATTATCGTTGTGCACAGTGAAAATTGCTCGTTGTACTATATAAACCAGAGTGGTTTCAAACGAAATTTACTGTGAGAATTTATGATGCAAAATTACGCATTCGATGTATGTGACAGAATGTTTAGAGTAAAAATCGCGTGTTCTATACATGTGTATAAGTTTACTGGCAAAATTACGCATTTGATGTATGTGACAGAATGTTTAGAGTAAAAATCGCGTGTTCTATACATGTGTATAAGTTTACTGTTAGTTTACAGTCGCGTATATATAGGCGTGCTTTTTATAGCGAAACTCGTGCTATAAACATACACGCTCGTACGTGTATACGTAACCTTGCTTTTATAGCAAAAAATCGGATAAAATGACTCTAGAACAGTGTGACATTTTTATGGGCATTTCCATCGTATCCGATTTTCACCTCACGACTTTCGAATTATGAAGAAGAACAATTCATGCATTTGTTGTTCTGTGATAGGTTCCAAACGTGAAATGAACACAATATTTTCTTACTTTTTAAAAATAATACTTTCTGATTACATAGAATCCTCTTATAGAGAAAGAACATTATTATAAATACCTAAACCACATGGCCCATAGTGTGACACAGGTTATACATTATAACCTATATCTTATAGGTTAGGTTAGGTACATTATAACCTATATATATATGATATAGGTTAATTTAATATAAATTCAAGATGTAAGAAATGATTTGATAGGTAATTAAAGTTAAGAATGCTATAGGAAGTCGGAAAATACAATCGGCGTCAGAACTTTCTAATCGCCCCACTTTCACAACACAAGAACACACTTCCTCGCTGGCAAACAACCGACTCCCGTGCACTCTGTGTGCCTGGCGACCAATTACCAAAGGGGGTGCGCATTAAACGTGGAAACAGGCGCGGCCTTTGTCATTTGGATTGCCGTCTTGAAAAGTTACCAGGAGAGGTCGCGTGGGGGAAATCTAGTGTCCCGTCGTAATTCGAAAGCGATTGTTCGAATTTATGAAGCCATTAGGGCGCCGCGAGTCGTTCGACCAAATCCCCCGTTCTTGATTTCTGGTGCAATAAAAGAGTCGCATTACGGCGCTATTTTGTCTGAAGTGGCGGCCACCTACATTAAGAATATAACAAGCTGATTGCGTGCGTCTTTGTTGCTCGGGTTACGCGTGCTACGTGCATGTGTGTGTCTGTATGTGAAAGAAGGCTGGCCAAAGATGGCACCGTAAACTCTCTCGCGATGTAATATCGCAGCTGCAGGGTCGAGAGCATCGTGGAAATTCTCGCGAACCGGCCATTCTTTGCAAGATCGAGAAAAAATGACGAATCGATAAATCGAGTGGTGATTGACGCGAAAATGGGTTTCGTTTAAATGAGTAAACGCGGGAAATGAGATGGTTCGTAAATTCTTTTTTTTATTTCATTTATATGGAATGTAGGATAAAGGGGAAAGGTATTTCCGTGATGTAATAAGGTTTGCATGTAAACGTCAAGGTGATGCGAATATCATCAGAATCTTTTTAAACAATTTATATGTAAAAAAATAATATTTACATAACCTCTCAAAATTACATAACCTGTACGAACATATCCACAAACATTACACGATAACACATTTACATTCCTAACCTGTATTTAATTAATAGACATTAAAAAGCAACTTAAAAAAACAGGGAATATTTGAATTTAACGATAAGATGATAATTTAGCGACGAAATGAAACAATGTTTACTTAGAAACAGAAATGACCTGGTATCCATAATTGACATATCCGTATGAGAGAACGTGTATATACTGTTCGATGGCTAAAGGGGGAAACTCTGTTTTCTTTTCAGCAGTGAGCTCCATGCGGCCGATAGACAGCACGAAATGCGTGGTGGTCCAAGACGTGAAGGCTGTCACTCATGAGAACGCGCACGTTCACGACCCGATATCAACGCAAATACCCACTGAAGGTAAATATCGAGCGGTATCAATTTGCATCCACTATGCATGATGTAAATACTCTGGCGTACGACGTCTCACGGTAATTGCTTTTGGGAGGCGCGCCTACCACGTTCGAATGGCTTCCCCTGGCCTGATATCGGCCGTTGCGTATATAACCATACAATGGCCACACCGAGAATAATATCGGTTCTGATGTGTAGCTATGTTCGCCGATGTTACGCCGTACTAGAAATATTTGTCGCGAGCGCGTTCAGACTAAATGCCTCGATAAATGTTTTCCCATTGGTATGTGGAATTTCGCTAGAAATTTAAAAACTTGCTTTCGTGATTAATAATCCATGGTTTAGAATCTTGTGGAAATATTGAATTTTCTTTTTTCTTTTATATTCATTAACTTTGTTCACGTTGATAATTTTTGTATTTACATTAAGTTGTTCATTATTGAAAGAAATATATAGAATATAGGTTGCTTTTTTGGAAAGATTTTGATGAACTAACCTAACTTTGAATGAAATTTAAAAGACAGCTTATAATTTTAATTATTTACGACATAATTTTATTTTATAATAAAAGTTTTATCGTTTCTGCTATTAAATTTTTCACGATCTGGTAACTGTTCATTTAACGAAAAACAGTACGAGTCACCGTTGACCAATTGCAGTATACAGGATCGTATTTAGTCGGGAAACTATGTCAGCCACGATGCCTGTTGGAGCTTTTCAGACTTTTGCGAGGATGACGTTAAAGCTCGAGTTGACGGAAAATACGAGAGCTTTAAAAACATTTACGCGCATCGATAAAATTTTCGAAGCGCTTTCCGGGAATTAGCTCAAAGCATGGGATGAATTTACGTGAAGTTCGTGATCCCGTATTAGCCGTTTAGCAGCTGATTTGGTCGCGAAAATATATAGAACAACCAATTTCGTCGGAATTCAGCACGGAAAATATAGCGATCGTTTGATGCACTTTATTTAACGATCTCAACTTTTTTAAAAAGCGCTTTTTGTTTTTAAATAATTCATATTTTTTCATTCCTCGAATTTTCCACACAACCTCTACTTTTATAATAGCCACTCAATTCTCTAAATCCTATATCTCTTGTGGGTAAGGGCTATAAAAACCTGGCCAAAGAGAACCAAGATAATTAATGCCTTTTATTTATGGAATATTTTATTTGGCTTTGTCCCTTTTATGTTATATTTGCTCGATCGCTCTCGGCTGTTCACTCGCGACGCCATGATAGTTCTCAGTTTCTTCCGATTGCCACGAGATGGCGCCACACTGTTTTCACGAAAAAACGGGAAAGGAAACGAACACTTCCCTGTCAGCACAGTTAAGATGATAATTACGAAAGCATGTAACCTAACCAAAACGTAACGAAATTCCTTTCTTCTCGGCACAGAATCACTGCCAACCAGTACAGCGGAACACTCTAGCGCATCGGATAGCGCAGGGGACCAACAGAGCGACCCTCAGATCCAACAGTCAGCGCAGCAATGGCCGGCAGTGCTTGAATTACAAGCGTACAATGTGGCCCACTCAGCTGTTATTTCGCCTTACCACTTCTGGAACACTGAGTTCCGGAACAAGCAGCCCGCCTTTATCCGACTGAACCTAACCTTACCTTGGGGTGCGAATTTCGCCGTTTACGGTCGACGAAACGTCGCACCGAGCGTCACGCAGTACGATTTCGTGGAGTTCGTGAAAGGTGGCAGAGTGGATCACAGATTGAAACGTGATACCAGTTCCGAGGCGGTCAGTTTTATGAAAACTGCCGCGCCAGAGGCTCGATCTAGCGGCAATCGCTCGTACCAGCATGTGTTGATCAAGAGAACGATCGTGGAGCCGATGATGGTGAACGTCAGTTTGCTACAGTATCTGGATACTGGACGTTGGTTCCTTTCGGTGTACAACGACGAACTACAGCCGTACAAAGTCACCCTGGTGGTGACCGAAGCCGAAGGTGTTTCGACTACATGCCCCAACGACTGTTCCGGCAGAGGATCATGTTATCTTGGAAAGTGCGACTGCATCGACGGGTATCAGGTGCGTATCCTCGGATTTCTTGGAGAGGGGGGCTGAGGTGTTGGGAAGGTTGGTGGCTGTCGGGAATGTTCCGTAGTGTTTTGAATGGCTCAATTTGTTGTGTCGAATTGAAAGTATTAGATGATTAGTTTACACAGATCGACGCGAGATAATTTTAATGTATCTCGGTAATAATGTTTCTAATGCAAGTATACCCGGTGGAAAAAAAGATACCAAAGTCATAAATTAAAGCATCATTGATGCAGTGACACTCACTCTACGGTTACGTAAGACGCGCCAAATTTAAATTACTGTTTCCTACCAAAAAAAAGATAGGTGCTGAGCGCGCGGTTTTTTGTTTACGATCGACCTGTTTGAAAGGCAACCGCCAGCACGAATGCGCGCGCACATACAGAGGTAAAGTTGAGGTTAGGAAAAGTTCGAAACGAAATTGTTTTATTTTATAAATTTCATATCAAATTTTTATTGAATTTCGAGCAGTATATTTTGTTTATTCTCTACGTTCTATAATATATAGTTAGTACTATGTGGTAAATTTGAGTGAAATTGTTGACTCGAACGTCAGCCACTCCCCTTGTTAGTCCTCGACTGATAAAGTAAAATACCTGTTGTATAACAGGCAAGGTGGGGTCACTTTAATCGGGACCAAGTGGACAGGTAGAATAGACGGTTCAACTAGATAAATATACGACCAAGCTTACGCTAATGTTACGTTAATTGATTACGAAACTGGAACTGTAAGATTAATATAATAAATTACTGTTGCAACCGCGTTTTAAAAGATCAACACGTGGCTCCCTCTGTACAGTTTCAAGATTAATACTTCGTGGATAGACATGAAAATATTACGTTGTAAATTTCAGCACCACTTTGATAAAAAAAAGAAAAAGAAACATCCATAAATACTAGATACTTTAAAACCCGTAGAAAGAGAAATTCAGAATTGAAAAAAATGTTTAAGAAAACGATAATACGAATCGTATGGAATGGCGCTGTAAATCGGCCAAGTCACAATTCTCAAGATCCACCGCCACAAATCGTACACAGAACCGCATTACTCACCTCGAACGATTCAATTTTTCCATCAGCCACCCTCACGTAGCGATTCGAAAAGAATTACAGAGCGATTGAGGCGATTAGATCGCGGAATCGTATCGCTAACGACGCTCGTCGATCATCTTTATGGCGGAGGGAGAGAGAGAGAGAGAGAATGGGAGATAATAGAAGAACCGATGAAAATTTCAGGGAGCCGATTGCAGCAAGAGTGTGTGCCCGGTACTGTGCTCGTCCCACGGACAATATGGCGGCGGTATGTGCCACTGCGAAGACGGCTGGAAAGGTGCCGAATGTGATATACCATTAGGAGACTGCCAAGTTCCTGATTGCAATCAACACGGACAATGCGTTAGGGGTTCATGTGTCTGTAATCCTGGCTGGAAGGGCGCTTTCTGCGATGAGCGTAAGTTAAAAACCTGTCTGGCTATAAGCGTTTAGTGGACGTTTAATGGTAGATACAATTTCGTTTAATACACCACGTTGGCAAGCTCTAGATTTCCACGGTTCTTCACAGTTCCACGATTTTCGATTTTAACATTCGGACTACGGTTGCCGGGTCACCTTTGACCCAGCTTTTAGATGTCTCTTGTTTCAACTGCAATTGGAAACAGAGTCACGATTTTTCTCTGCTTATATTATAAATATGTTTATCATGTATAATTTTAAAGAATATTAAATATGAAATAGATCTTAATATTGGCTCATATTTGACCCGGCATCCGTAGTGCAACTTTTCCTTATTAATATTCATATTTATTATAAACTTAACCTCGCAATATCTATACTCGGCTGTGGTCATACTAACACTGCCTGTATCTTGAAAGTCTTCAAAAAATTAATTTTTGTACTAATTTTCCTTTTTCTTAACATCGAAAAATTTTCTCTCAATTTTAATATTTCAAAAATACGAAATTTCCACATTTCAAGGGAAACGTATGAAACAGAGGATAATGATAAATTCAGCTATCATAAAAATTACACTCCAATCTCATGACAAAATTACCCAATAAAAATAGCAGTAGCTTTATCTGCATTAAAAAAAAAAAGATAACGAGAAGGGTAAGGATAAACGAAGCAGGGGAGGAAGCAGGAGAGTTCAGTTAGGCGAACGATCCAAGTCTGCTTTCGACGTCTAATAACGACCCCTTAAAACCGATTGTTTAACCGGCTTCTCGCTCACCCTCGAGTTAAGAACGTTCTCGGTGATAAAACTGCGCAGAGCGAAAGTTACTTTCGCTCCCCTTCGAGAGAGCGCGCGTCCGGGAACAGGTTGTACAGGGTGCACGCGTTCGTAATCCGGATTAACAAGATCGCGTCGTAAAACAAAGAATTCATTAATGAAACTTATCGTGCACTGTTGTATGTTCTGCAATTACTACGTCAGAAAAGGTGATTAGTTCATTGAAAGGGAGGGATTACCGATTGATTGTTTAATGTAGTATTCGTCAACAGTGATAAATTCGTTCTGCACTTATGTACACGCGTGAAGTATAAAATTTTGCGTTGAAAAACAAAAAGTTGAATTTCAAAATTAACTTTGTTAACCTTGAAATATCCTAGCAACATCTTTTTTGTCATGTTCAGTGTCCAATTTTCGGCGCAAAACATAAAACGTTGAAAAAATATTATATACTTCAACAGTGACCTAACCTAACCTAATTCCAGTTCCAAGAATTCCAGTGTTGTCGATTTTACAAACTTCACACATCAGCGACCACCACAAATTCTATTTTAAAATTCCATTAGCGATACGAAAAAATCCTGTATATAGTTACACGCGCGTCCGGTTTCAGTGAAAAGGGTGAAGCGAACGCACGCGCGCGCACGCACGACGAAGAAAAAGAAAAAATCTTCACGGGACACGGGAATTTAAACGTGCCCTTAAAACGTGACAGATGATCCAACTTTTGAGTTCATTAAAGGTTACATTGTGCTCAAAGCGCTCGCGCCGCCCATATTTCACCGTTAAAAATGAGCAGCGGAAATGCAAATGGCTTCGCGTGCGCGCGTGCGCGCGCACACACTGGAACGTTTACCTCTCCGACGTCTATTTCTGCGTCGGATGTTGTTTCTTCATATTTGTCACGCCGCCATTAATTTCCCCATAATTCAACCGTACGTCCTGCA